CCAGACTGTGGTGACAAAGTTTTGCATACTACTGCATACTGTAATACAGCCAAACCCAAATTAAATGCATTGCAAGAACTGCTTGTGCCATTAAACTAAACTCAGAACAGTTTTACAAGAATATAAGTCAATGTTGTTATTTTCTAATTTGCAGCTTTTTCTAGTCCAGAAACTAGAAACAGCTGTAACTTGGGCACCAGTAAGAAAAAACCCACAAACATTTCTTGGAAGTGTAAGTTTTAGTAGTACTTTGTGTAGAACATGTATTTCTAACTTTTTCCCATGTAATCATATAACAAACATCTTACAATAAACATCAATCAATAATTAAAGTCTACCAGAAACAAGTTCTAACTAAGGTGAAAGAAAAGAACAAACTCTAAAGATGAGATTCTACTTTGATATTGTACACTAAATACTTCTTGAAAGAAGGTTAGTAGGCAAATGGCTGATAGTAAAAGCCACATCTAGGAAATGGAAATGGATTCAAGAGTGAAAGCAGGAATTCAAAGGAATTCACAATATACTGCTAAGAAGGAGCCAGAGTACCAAATTGTTCTTTTAAAAAAATGCAAATAGCATCCCATTAATGGCTAGCCCTATTATAATACCACAGCTCTGTGCCCTTGATACAAATTGAACATAGTGGTTTGAGCATCCTTCACAGGGCTCAGACAAAATAGCATGGAAAATGAAGGGCTGTAAAAATGATAAAGTGATAATTCGAAGCACCTGTGACTGAAGATGCATAAACAATAGTAAAATGGCTTAAGAAATGTCAGCTGACAAGTAACTCTGAAGCAAAGAGAGAGGAGGAAAAACTTTAAAAATATGACATTGTCTTTCTTTGGTTCTCATTGTAGGTACTCAAGTGCTCCAGATACAGCTGTACTCCTTCAAGTCTGAGAACACACTCTAAGAGTTGATAAATATCATTGAAGTCAAAAAACCAGATTCACTAACCTAGGTATTATTTAATCAGGAGGAAAAAAGAAAACATGTAAGTCTGATACAGGATTGTTTTAAACCAATTCTGTCCAAAAACAAACACAACTTACCTTGTAATTAAACATATACAACTCATCAAATCATAGAATGGGTTGGGATGAAAGAGGCCCTAAAGATTATCTAGTTCCAGCCCCCAGGAATACCTGTCAACAGACCGGGTTGCTTGGAGCCCATATTCAGCCTGGCTTTCAACGCTTCCAGGAATCAGGCGGACACAACTTCTCTGGGAAACCTGTTCCAGTTTCTCATCAACTCAGAGTAAAGAATGTTTTCCCAAGAACTAATCTAAATGTGCTCAGCAACCAGTAAGGTCAACCCACCACAAAGTATTCAACACACTATTAGTCAGACCTTTATAAAACATTTACCATAACACCACAAAAAATCCAAATTATAGACTGGAAGGCTACAAAACACAATAACAGAAATTAAATAGATTTAAAAAAAGAATTACTCCTCATAATCTATCAGAGAAAAAAACATCCTGTATGAATGCCTCACCTTGGATTGGATGAAATCAGAGATTGTTTTTCTGCTGCCACAGACAGCACAGCTACAGTCTATATTTTATGTTAGCACAAATTGGAGCAATATGAAAGTGAAGTAAATATTTACAAAATGGGAAATCATACTGGGCAGTTACAAATCCAAACAGGACTCAAGAATCACAGCTAGCAAGAAGCTGAACATCAGCTCTCAGGTCAAGAGGGTCAAGAGTGTAGGTCCTCTACCTGATTGCCTAAGCAGAGAAATCCTGAGAACTTCAATCACCCACAATAGGCACTATACAACTACATTCCAAGCTGGTGCCAATACTATAGGATGAAGATGAAAGTTAAAGGAAAATTGAAGGGAATTAAAGGAAAATTGAAACATCCACTAAAAATAATAAATTTGTAATGCATGCTTTATGAGAAACTGCAGAATTTCAGTCTCCTTTATTTCTCAAACAGAAGGGTAAAACATTGCAAATACCTAACAAAACTTTAAAAATCTCCACATATCATAAGTAACATAAATATATCATCAAGTGGATGCAAGCTGATGCTGTTTAAAGTCAGTACAAAACCGAGTTAGAGGTCATAACAGAATTTCCCTGACCAGCCATTTGACATAAGGTCATTTCCCCTAAAAACTGAATTCAAGTTCACAAAATTACTTTAGTCTTCTTCCGTTCAGACTAGATGATCATATTTTCCAAGGTCTTAGAGGTTATAAATTTACAAAATTAACCATGTGTCAGTGTGGGTAGCTTTGACTTTTCAATATGTTAACATTTAGGATCCCCCAAAAAGTAGATTTATGTGCTAAGAAAACAGCTATTTATTTCAAGACATTTTCATATAACCTTTTCTCAAAGATGTTATATGCAGGTTTGACAAAATCTTCCAGTTTGGTTTTATTACAGACAAACTAAACACAGACTTTCACATCCTAAATGAGCTCCATTTTGTTTACTGTTCTTTCTCATTTCAAAGCATCAAAAACTCCAAATATTTTGCCTCTAGAAAGAGGTTTATTAAAATTCCAGTGTAGAATATTGTACTAATTTTCTTTTCCTTTTTTTTTCCCTCTCCTTCTGTGGCTATTGCCCCCTGAAAAGAAGAACAACTGGAGTGAGCACTTGAAGGTAAGAGTTTCTGGACACAGAGAGTTTACCAGTGAGCAAAGACCTTGAAATGAGGGGGAAACATGACAGTTTCAGGCTGCTCTGAGAAAGAGCAGGGATAACCAAAACTCCTGAGGCTGCTCAGGTGCTGCTTGGCACCTCCTGTTGCTGCTCTGGCTGAACAGAATCTGCCACCAGCAAACTGATCAAAACATTGAAGTAGATAAATACATGGACCTGATATGAAAAGAATGGCAATTTAACCATATGCATCTTTAGATTCTGCCAAAATATGAATGATTCTTCTCTGCCCAGCAAATATCTTCATTAATTCTTAAAGAAAGCCTTACAGAATAATAGTTTCTTTTATATGCTTTTAAATGTGTTAAAATTCACATAAGCTTGGAGTTTAAGGAAATTATTACAGGAATCTGGTGTTGGTCAAGCAGCTAAGTAAAAAGCTAAGTTACAACAACTCTCCCACAATGAAAGGTAGCGTACAAAATAAATCAGACTCTGCTTAGGCTCAGGAGCTGAAAAGAGAAATCTGACAGGGGGAAAAAAAAACCAGCTGTAGGTCAGATTTTTCTGCTCAATTTAAACCATCTCCTAGACCCTTTCAGTTTCTTAGATGGATGATCTTCAAAGCTCTGCAAGGGCTTTAGAAGACAATATTTTCATGGGTAGCACAGCTCAAACAGATTTTTATCCTGACTTCTTAGCTGAGACAGATATCTGCTGAGAGAGATATCTTCTGAGAGTGATAATTATAATACTACTAAAACTAATAATTTTACTTTGATGAAGATATTTAAATGAGTGATAATATTCAGAAACACTACCTACAAGATGAGATAGAGAATCAACACATAAAAGGCTGCTCAAATTGGTCAAGGATAAACCAGGTTTTTAAAGGTAAACCAGATTATGGTACAGATTACAGATAGAGAAGGAGAACAAAAGGTGGAAACTTCAATCCTTTACAAGAAAGAGATTGCAGTAAATTTTTAAGTCCCCCCAAGAACCAATAAACAACCCCATAAAAATATCTCGAAAGAGACCCAGTTTCATTTACAAGTCAATGAAGCCAAATTTAAAAAGGCAAAATGACAGGGAGCCTTACATGCTTAAAATACTTTCCGTCATTCAAGGTGGTTCTTCCCAAAGCAGTCATCTGTGCCATTGATTTAAAGCTATACACACATCTGCTATTAAACGCAATGAGTAACAGGCCACTGGGCTACAGCTGATTGATATTCTTCAGTCTCTCTTGCAAAAACTTGATCTCCTCAGAAAAGATACCACTGACATTTAAAGTACACACATACTGGTATTTGCTAAGGTTTTAAACAGTAGTGAGTCTCAAATTCTGAGGAATTGCAAATTCTGAAGAGTTGGCTTTTTTCTGAATGCCTGATTAGCATAGAGAGGAAAAGCCATATTGAGAATTTTTGAACACACTTAACATGTTTCAGGCCTCACATATGCAAAGGAAACCTGATTGTTGTAGCATTTAAGTTCAGAGCTGCATCTTACCCTTCTGCACAGCAGTATAAAGGGCAGATGTTGAGAGGTATTTCTCACCTGAGAATTTCTCAGGTACTTGGCTGTCACATCTAAGAGGAGAGGAGGGGAAGGGGGAAGGGGGAAGGGGGAAGGGGGAGGGAAGGGGGAGGGAAGGGGGAGGGAAGGGGAGGGGAGGGGAGGGGAAGGGAAGGGAAGGGAAGGGAAGGGAAGGGAAGGGAAGGGAAGGGAAGGGAAGGGAAGGGAAGGGAAGGGAAGGGAAGGGAAGGGAAGGGAAGGGAAGGGAAGGGAAGGGAAGGGAAGGGAAGGGAAGGGAAGGGAAGGGAAGGGAAGGGAAGGGAAGGGAAGGGAAGGGAAGGGAAGGGAAGGGAAGGGAAGGGAAGGGAAGGGAAGGGAAGGGAAGGGAAGGGAAGGGAAGGGAAGGGAAGGGAAGGGAAGGGAAGGGAAGGGAAGGGAAGGGAAGGGAAGGGAAGGGAAGGGAAGGGAAGGGAAGGGAAGGGAAGGGAAGGGAAGGGAAGGGAAGGGAAGGGAAGGGAAGGGAAGGGAAGGGAAGGGAAGGGAAGGGAAGGGAAGGGAAGGGAAGGGAAGGGAAGGGAAGGGAAGGGAAGGGAAGGGAAGGGAAGGGAAGGGAAGGGAAGGGAAGGGAAGGGAAGGGAAGGGAAGGGAAGGGAAGGGAAAATAGGTGTATTCTGTGTCCATGAATTTCTAGACTTTACTATTGGAGTGGAATAGATTTCATGTTATGAGATAACTAAAGCAATCATCATTTTTCTTCAAATTGCTCCTAAGAACTTGATCGTGCAATTCACCAGTTTTTCACTTTTTTCCCCATTAGGTTTTTCTATTTTTTAAACACTCATTTGATTCTAATGTCTTCAATCTTTCTTCCTGTTTACTTATTCTAATTGCTTTATTTCGGTTTATTCAAACAAAAGACTACTATTTCAGCCTAGACCTAGAAATACCCGTTTTAAAAGTGCAGACTAAAATAAAACTGATTTACAACCTTCTAAATCTAAGGAGAGATTACATTTAATGTTCGCAGATAGTTATATAAGAATTTCAGAGAGTAACACACTGAATATATAAACCTCCTGCTAATTTATAGTCCAAAACTGATCAAGATAAAATTAAAACTTGAAGATTGTTTCTAGTTTACAATATTTTTTAAGTTCCACTGGATTTCCTCTCTTTCAGGTGTAACAACAACATAGCATGATCATTTATAGGGAGTGCAAGTACAGAGACATCTTGTGGTAACAAGACATTTGCAAACAAATGCACTTTTCTATACTGAAAATTCTCTTTTGATACATGAAATAAGTTTAGTATACTACAACTTTTCAAAGTAATTTCAAAACAAAACATTTCAAATTAAAATATCAAAATGTTTCACTGATAAAAATGTTAATTCTTTTAAAGAATTGTTTGGAGGTTTTAATGACCAAAGCAACACTGTTGAAATTAAAATACTCAGTTCTAATTTCAGTAAACACAAGCAGCTGCTATGAGTTCAAACTACCTAGAAAAGAAATTTAATCAAACAAGTACAAGCAAAATCATTGTCCCCTTACAAAGAAATATTGAAAAACTCTCCAGTTGTAGGGAAATTAAATAGTGTATCCAAATGGCAACAAGGAAAAGTCAGGACAGATGTATCTTCCTGTGGTGGTCCCTAAAAAAGACATTAGAAGTAATGGCTGGAAGTGACACAGGTACGTCAAGACCTTCCTCCAGTGGTCAGTCTCCATGCTGGACTTCTTTCATTCAGTTTCTTCACCTTAAAAAGAAAGATACCTCTTATCACTTCCATGAAACATTTGGAGTTTCTGCTGGAAATATTATCCTCTACTTTCAAATGGGATCTAGAAAAATATGAAAATACCTTTTCACTGTTGGGAGGTTTCAGAGATATTTATCATGCAAAAATGGCCACATTAAGAAAGGTATTGTTACTGATCCATGTCAGTATTAAATGCACTAGAAACTGGAATGATTACAGGATATGTAAATTTTCAGGAATCTAGATGAGTCTATTCTGTTCTTAAATAAATGCCATTGACCAATACTCTTTTAAATGAAAGAGAAAAAAAAAAAGTAAATTTTGAAGATTACATAAAAAAATTTAAATCCTACAAAATATTACCTAATGCTGCATGACTGAGGGGTCATGAGGTTCAAGGAGATTAAACACTTCTACTATGACTACAGATCAAGGTCAGACACCAGCTTTGGAAGAACACTTCACACCTCAAGCTGCAGCTTTTAACAGCAGCTGACAGAGTCTTATATAGGCATATTATCCTTCAGTTTACTAGCTTAAAAGCAGCCATGCATGAGATACTAATCATTACAAGCTAGCATAAAAAAAGAGAGAACTCTCTCCAAAAATATTTGAAACAGATGTTGAGTGCAACATTAGATGTAGGTCTGTGTTGCCCTCTGGAATGTGAAAAAAACAAATATGCTAGTATTTTCAAGTACAGAACTAAATTCCTGTGAGTGGATTTACCTCACTGCATCACAACAAGATCTCTTGCATGATACCAGGTTAAAGAAGAACAATTTTGGGTCTGAAATGCTAAATGAACTTGCAGAGTGACAATTGAGATTGCTACCAACTGACCTGGAAGACATCACAGGCTGTTCTGCCAGACGCCTGAAAAGTCAAACATTTATGGAAGAGAGAGCATTCAGTCCAGAAAGTGTGTTGCTCCTATTGCCATTATTTTTTTTTAGTATTGTATCCTGTCTTCTGAAGACCAAAAATCTTGTCCTTATGCAGATTTCCAAGGCCTGCAGAGGAGGGAGAGGGTAGATACAGAGAAGATTACTCACTTCTGCTTTCACAAAGTTGTAGCATAGCTATTTATAATGTTCAAAGTACTGTTTAAAAATATTTGGTTCACCTTTAACCAGAAGACGGACTCTTTTCATGTAAACAGCTAGATAGCTTAATAGTTTTTACCAAATTACCAATTATAAGTACAGCTTCAAGTCAGAACACACTGATTTTTTTTTAAATCAAATTTAGCATCTTTTAAAAAGATGAACCTACTAAAGAGAAGGCAAGCATCCTGTCACCTACTTCAGGCTGTAAACCATGGTAACAAGGAGTAATGAAACATGACAAAAAGTTCTGAGATCCCTCATTGAAGAGATAATTAGTAAGGAAGCAAAGCCAAATTAAATACTGCACTTGGCAACACAAGCAGTTTTTGAAGTCATGCTTTCCTCTCTCACAGTTGTTTTTAGCTAAACTACAGCCTTCACATTAATTGCAAACCAAAACAATAGTGCCTAGGGAAAATAATGAGTATGGAATAAGGAGGAAAATAAATGATTAATTAAGGGATTAGGGAAGTCAAAAGTTCCTGAGGACCTCTGACTACCATTGCTGTCCACAGCCAAGGGAGCTAGAAGAATTAAAAATTTTTTTCCAGGCAGCACTGCAGAGATGGCTGGTGACAATTAGCTAACTTGGCTTGTATTCAAGTAAACACAGTTTCACCTAAATGTGGTAAGAATAATGATGCTGCTGTTAGGGACAGAGACATTACAGGGCCTGTGAGTCTGAAAGTTCAGTATACAGTCTTGCAAGGGAGATAAAACAGTAACTAGTAACTCAGACATGTTGAGATGCTATAAAATTTATGGAATCGGGGTGTTCTGGCTTCATACTTTCCTCATGCAGAGATAATTAAGGTGAGGAAACAAACTCACCACTTTTTCAAGGTGACAGAATTATTTATTTGTGTAATAGAACACATAGTGTGCATACTGGAAGACAGTATAACTGAGATGAGATCCAGATGTGCACACCTGGACACAGGGAAACACACACAGCCACTCAACCAGGTTGTGACTTGTAAGTGATTCTCTGAGGGCATATAGAGCGTGAAACAGTCTCTAGCATCCCACCTCACTCATCAAAATAATAATTGTCTTTAAGAAACAAAGCAGCTTCTTCAGAATGGTAGAAAGTGACCCAAAGAATAGAGATCCCTTTACTGTTCTTGAGCCAATGTCCTTGCACTTCTTGTGCTGCATGCCTCATTCAAACGACCTTGTCCCTCAAGCATTTTGCCCCTCTACCTCCTAGAAATGTTGAATCTCTCTTTGAGAATCACATTATAAATTACTGTATCTCAGGTTAGCAGCCTCCTCCCTACACTTGCACCAAGAGAAATCCAGAGGGACTTAGCTCTTGCTTCTGCAAGAAGATTTAAGACTAGATGATCTGTGTTCTTTCACTACTCTCTTCTCTCCAAAAGAAATATTCACAGTAACAGGCCAGCATATTTTTCAGTTCAGCAGGGAGAATAGGATGCTGTGAGAACTGGACTTAGAGGATTCAGAGGAAAGTCAACTTAAAAGGCTGTTCAATCAGAATTGATTACATTTACATTTTACTGTAGTTAAGAAAAACCTCCTTTTATGTAATCTCTCAAAAATAAATAAAACATAAGGGAAAAAAAAACTGAAAGAGCATAATACAGCCATCCATACACTTCTGCAATGTTAACGCAAAGTTAACCTTGAAAAGGACCGCAGCTGGACCTATGCTGAAAGCAAGCTATAAAGGAAGCTGGACCTCTACTGGAAGCTTACCATTCTGCTATTTTTTGCTGTCAGAGATACTAGTGAAAACAGAATATTTTAATTGAAAGTGCAGTAATCACTCTGTGTCATCATCTTTCTTAAGCACACCTAATAAAATATTTGCAGGGACTTGTTGCAGGGGAAGGAAAAAATATGAAATATTATTATGGACATCAAGAGTATACTACTTAAGTAAGTATTAATAGTGCTAATTCCCTCAGAACTGGAGATCAGTTCAGAAAAAATAACCTCTAGCATTTCAACAAATGCATACATAGAACATCAGAGCACTGTCAAGACTGGAGTAAGTAAGGAAAAATGGAGGGAAAACTGGTTCAGGCAATAGAGAACAGCAGAATATATGAATAATAATAATAAAGTGGTTAAAATAAACAATGCTGACATGAAAAAATACCTTCCTCCAAATGTGCTCATTGCTATTGACCTTCAGGCAAGGCGTCAATATTAAAAGTAACCTACCAATACCTTTTTCTCCTCAAGGCAGTATTTCATAATTTATGCACCTGCTGCAAATATTGTTTGATACATAGTCACTTTGCTAAGCTTTTCATTAAAATACTGTCCATTCAGGGTGGAATGACATGTTTCCTGTCACTAGGCATCATCTCTCACATCGTCTGCAAATCTTTGACTACTGAAGTGTTACTCATTTAAAAAGTACAGAGAAAACTACAACTGTAAAAACCACCTATCCCATTATAAGAAGAAAATTTTTAAGAAATTTAAAGCTCTTTTTTTCCCAAGCTTTTAAGTTGTTGAGCCTTCCCATTATCTAGCAACATTTAATTACTAGTTTATATCACTCCAAATTAATTTTTAAAGTGTTTTGTAACCTTCAACTGCTTACCATGTTCTTCTGCTTTGTACACAATTACCACAGTGGAGGTAATTCTTAAGTATTTCTGACAGATAGAGCAGCAAAAGGCCTGTGTCAATATACATGTTTTTACAGGCCTTTTATAATAAAGAGCCTGTGTTTAATGGCTGTTTAAAACTTACACTGTTAAAAAGCATGATCTCATTGTAGTAGGCACAACAGAGATAAACATCAAATTACAATCCCTCAATACATTCATTTAATTTTAAGTCAGGCAAAAAAAGGGGATAAATAACTTAGCTCTTATTTTCTCAGAAACTGTTCACGTTGTTCTACATAGAACATTGACATAACTGCTACATGTTATATTTAATTTCATTTATATTTAGTTTTTGTAAACTACTTCACAGGACTACTAAAATAAATGCAACTAATTCACAAAACTTGAAATTCTGTGAATTATTCTAAATAATTTAATGTTAATTTAAGTTCAAGAGCAAAGGCCTGTGCCCTCAAATATCCACACCTCCCACTCTCAAATACAGAAGAGACTTTTTTGATAGAACTGGTTTTAATGACAGAAAGAGAAAGCAAATGACTATATAAAAAATTCCAACATGAAACAGGGGATGTCTTTATATCACTCTTTTTGGTTACATTGGGTTTCACACAATCCCCAGGTATGCAGAGGTGCTACTATAGTCATGGAAGTTCAGATGTCTCCACATCAAAAGCCTGAGTTCAAAAGCAACAGGACACACATGGAAAAGAACTTAGACTGTCCATTTGCTTTCTGGCTACCTGAGCAAGCACAGTGCAGGTCACTTCGCTGATGGTGCATATCAATCAACAACTGTATATATGTATATGCTGTATAGGGTTGCTAATGCTGCATGACGTATTTCTAATTGATTATAAATCAAAAGATGCTGTCTAGGTTTACTAAAAAGCAACACTAGTATATTCAATTAAGCCACTCTGACCTAGAATTATTTTTAACTCACTGTGCTAACTTTAATTTAGAGAAAAAAAATTTGCTAACATTTTAGTCACCAAACTGCATTAACCTGAGAAATATTCAAAGAGCAGTGTTCACAACATGACCAATGCTGATCTAGCCATTACATCTGTTGGGTTTAGCTCAAATGTTTTGACAATTATACCAGCTCCCAGAGTCATTGTTAGCCACTCTAGATATTGTTCAAGGTTTGTACAAATTGCCTCAGGAGCAGTGCTGTTGCAATGTTCACGTCTGCTGCTCCCAAAGATGCAATATTTCCCTCTCCATTGTTTAAAGATCAGAAGACCAAAAGAGACCTTTACATTCATCAGGTCAGCCGAAGGAAGCCAGGGAATTTTCCCCAATAGAATGATCCTACCAAAGGCTTCCTCCTTTTTGGTTAACATCAAGGAAACCATTAAGAACAAACTTAAATAATGAAAATGTTATGACAAATAACACAAACAGCATAATGAAAACCAATCAATTTTTCTCATTTTCATACCTCTTAACAAAACATGGACTCAAACTACCAGATGCCTTATTCATTGTTCTGTCCTCCAAGCAACAAGTGTAGCCCAGTTATCAGGTGAAAGCCTTGTCTTAGTTCACAGATATATGGGTAGTATCTCAGATTCACATGCATTACAGCTGAATGGATTGAACTGCAGTTTTCACATCAAGCAGGAAAGCAGACCCAAACCACTCTGCTAATGCACGTGAATCTCTTTGTCTCCATAGAGAAAAGTTTCATCAAATCTTCAGAAAAAGCCTTCATCAAAGCCAGGATAGCGACCATATACTGGCAAAAACACACGAGGTTATCTTTGCCTGAGCTGCTGCAGGGACCAGCAGGACCACAGAAATCAGCATAAGCTGCATGGCCCACTCTGAGCTGTGCTTCCCAGCAGCTCCCACACACCACTCTGAAGTCCCTGGACATCCCTCTGCCCAAGCAGCCCTGTGGCTGGGGGAATACCTGCAAAGCTAAAGCAGAAATATTGTCTTCCCACATGCCTAGTAGTTAAAAAGGAAAATGCAGAAGAAAAGGTTGCTCTGAATGAAAGATATGGAAAGATAATGAAAGAGATATAAGGAAGTCTGGTGCAGCTAACACCATTTTTACTAAGGTTCAAATAGTATTAAAATTTCATAGAGATTTTCTACAAATTCCCAAACTTCAGTTTTTTTCCCCGTCTCTAGCAAATTGACCAATCTGATTTCTTTTTATGACAAGGCTATTGTCATGGTTTGACGCTGGCACAATGCCAGCGCCCCATGAAAATACAACCTACCAATCAAATGCTGTAAAATGTGATCAAGAACAGAGCAAAGCAGGCCAAACTTAATAACAAAGGAAAAACTTTATTACACTACTACTACTGCTACTATAAAAGGAAAAGAAAGGAAAGAAAAAAAACCAACAAAATTCGAAATGAAAACCTTCCAAAACATTCCTCCTCCCTCCACCCAACTCCACCAAACCCCAGCGAGACCCATTTGTATCCTTAATCAAGTTTTCACCCTTCAATATAATCAATACTGAGTCCATCCGGGAAGAGAGGAGTCCCCCTTGCACCACAGACTCCCAGGAAACACAGCTGCCACCTCTTGTGTTTCCAATGTCACACGTGGCACCACCCAGACACACCGGCCAGTGTGACATTCTCCTCTCCATGTCACAGTGCTCTCACCACTGTGCATGGACAGAGACTGCTTATAGGGCCCCTTTAAGGATGCTTTGCCAAGGACCACCAGGAACAACAGTCCAGTATCACAATTCGGGACTAGAGTCCCCCCCATTTTCCCCTGGGGCCGAGGGTCCAAGGACAGAGATCTCCTTCTCTTCTTCTCTGAAGATGGAGGGCATCCTCACACCCTCCTCAGCTCTCTCTGTCCATTCCTGAACTGGTAGTTGCTGAAGAAGGTCTCTTGGCTCACCAGTGCATCCCCCTAAAATGCAGTCCCTCTTGAAAGAAGGAGAGGTTCAGTCTATGGTAAACAAGCAGAGTCCAGCCAAAAGCCACTCTATCATCTGCCCCCAACCTTCTTCTCTGAACATCTGAGGTCCCAGGCTGTCTCTCTTTCCTTCAAATTCAGGAGGAGTAATATTTCATAAAGCCTTCATTTCACAGGAAAGGGTTAAAATTCCCAGACTCCCCGGACAGCTGCAATCTCAGCCCAGGACTCCGTTTCCCATCTCCCACGCTGGGCATCTTCCCCCCCCTTCTCCTTCTCCTCCGCCGGCAAACTCCCAGGTGTCGGCTGGCCCTCTATCTCTTTTCCCTCTAGCTTGGGTGGGGGGGAGAACAAAGACATCCCAGATGTTCTCCACCCTTCCATCCGCAGGAGCTGGCCCAGCTCGGTTCCGATCCTTCACCCCCTGGCCTACCTCTGCAGGCCGCATGGCTCCCCTCCCCCACCCAGCCCGGGCTGGGCAGGGGAGGTCCGTACCTTGCGATGACTGGAACCAAAGAAGGACGAGTCCTCCTGGGAATTCTGCTTTTAACCCCTCTGTGTTCTCAGAGGCGTGTCCACCTTCAATTGGTCACCCCAAGTGTCAGTATCCAAACCTGACCCCTGACTGGATGAACCTCTTCCTTCCAAAAAAAAAAATTCTCTTCCCGTGTCAAACCATGACAGCTATGCACTTAGTAGGTGAGGGAAAGGCTGTGGATGTATCTACTTAGACCTTAGTAAAGACTTTTACACCATTTCCCACACCATTCTCCAAGAGAAACTGGCTTCCCACAGTGTGGACAGGTGTATGCTTTGCTGGGCTAAAGACTGGCTGGATGGTCAGGCCCAGAGGGTGATGGTGAATGGAGCTACATCCAGTTGGCAGATGGCCACTAGTGGTGTTCCCCAGGGCTCAGGTCTCTTTAATGATCTTTATTGATGACCTGGACATGTAGATTGAGTGTACCCTTAGCAGCTTCACAGATTATAACGAGTTGGGTGTGGGCACTGATCTACTGGAAGATAGTAAAGCCCTGCAAAAGGACCTTGACAGACTGGATTGATCAAGTGAAGCCAAATAGATGAGATTGAACAAGCCGAAATGCAGAGTCCTGCTCTGGGACTTGACAACCTAATTTGGGGCTACAGGCTGGGGCAAGAGTGGCTGGAAAACTGCCCAGTGGAAAAGGATCTGAGAGTGTTAGTTGACAATCAACAGGACATCAGCTAGTACATGCACAAGTTGCCAAGAAAGCCAGTGGCATCCTGGCTTGTATCAGCAATACTGTGGCCAGCAGGGCCAGGGCAGTGACCATCCCCCTGCACTTGGCACTGGTGAGGTCACATCTTGAGCCCTCTGTTGAGTTTCAGGTGCCTCACAACAAGAAAAACATCGAGGTGCTGGGGCGAGTCCAGAGAACATGAGTAACGGAACTGGGGAAGGGTCTGGACCACAAACCTCTGCACACTCTCTATACAAATATCTCAAGAGAGGTTGTAATGAGGTGGGGGTCAGGTTCTTCTTCCAAGCAGAAAGTGATAGTACGAGAAGAAATTGCCTCAAGTTGCACTAGGGGAGGTTTAGACTGGATGGAAAATTTCTTCATCAAAATGGTTGTCATTCTCTGGAACAGGCTGCCAGGGAATTGGCTGAGTCCTCATCCCTGAAGGTATTTAAAATTTGTGTTGGTGTGCCACTTAGAGGCATGTTTTAGTGGTGCAATGTTAGGTGTGCAGATGGACTTGATGATCTGAAAGATGTTCTTCAATCTAAATGATTCCAGGATTTTTTTCTTATTAAAAAATACAAAAGCATTAATAAATGCTAAAAAAAAGAGTCACTAAAAATTGATTCATAAGCCAGATCAATATGTTAAAAAAAACTTCTAGTGGCTTCCAGATTTTTCACCAAATGAATGCAGAGACATTGGAAACGCCTCACTGCATTTGAAAAGTATTAATTAATAAATATCATTATTTTATATGGCCTAAGGTTTGTTAAAAATCCTGCATTGAATATTGAAAATCTATTATACAAAATGTTTGAGATGACAGAGTAGAAAAGCATGCATAATACTACAATAAAAATATGCCTGTCATCTAAAGACTTCAAGGGCTTCTCATGGCTGCTTGGATTTTTGCAGCAGTGAATTGTTTACTTTCTCCAAAACCAAAAGCAGATTTTCCCTTCACAGCTAAGAGCTCTGACAGGTATAATTGAATCATACCACCCACCCTAGCCTATGATACAGAGCAGAACAAATCTGACCATGACCAGGACAGAAATGTTCATCATGACCAGACAGGGTTCAGGCTGAATAATACTTCAGACGAAAAATATCATTCCCTAATGTAACTATTTCAAATATGAAGGAGAAAGGCATTGTATGAGAGCATACCAATTTCATGGCTTCTTACTCCTTCTGATAAGCACCTTTTCTTTCAAGCAATGATGATCCAAGTAATTTAAGTAAGTTAAGTTAACAAGTAATTTAACATTAAAGCAATGTTCTTTGAATCAAAGTTATGACAAATAAAACTTCCTTCATCCTCTGATATGGTCAGCAATGGGAACAGTACTGCCTTTAGGAAATGTGAGTATAGCAGAGGATGATAATAGCACAGATATTGTTACCGTAAGGCCACACAACAGTTTCAACTTGATGGTTTCCATTTGCTCAATACATAAGTCAATTAAATTGATTTTACTGAAGTCAGGAAGTATTAACAATTGCATTGTGCAGATAACACCAATATGATGTGGCTGCACCTAGCAACTAAACACGATCTCACAACAGCTCAAATTGTTATATCCTCTTCTAATTTGTTCTTAGGGTTTCATAATTTAATCCAATTTTTGATTTTTCTCTCCTTCTTAAAGCAAAATGCTGTGTCAATACAGTTCTCTGGAAAAAACAAACTTTCAATTACTTCAAAGTCATCAGTATATTTCTTAATCTCTGACTTATAATGATGAGAGAAGTCTTCTATCAAAATATATCAGTGAGAAAAGCAATTATTCAAAAAATTACTTGCAGCTTCGTAAATCTGAGAATTACCAACCTGGATTTTACTCTGGAGACATCTCAAATGGACAAAAAAGTGCATAATTTTCCCTGTTATCAGGAAAAAAAAATCTTACAAGAGGGGAGAGTTAAAAGTTGGCAAAATACCTTCAGAACTTACTGGGATAGCTTCCTTGGGACAGGTGAAGCACCAGATCACATGATTTGAAGTTTTCACCCTTGGAATAAAAAGGGCATACCTCAAGTTTTCAGTGTCAGGAGATAAAAGGGAAGCAAAAACCCAGTCCATTGTGGAGATCTAACCACTGTGGTATTTGAACAGCAGGGGCTTAGTAAGACATCCAGAATTTTGCTGCAGAAAGGATTGCTGCAATTAACAAATGATATTTGAAAAAGCATAAGGCTATATGTTTGTTTGGTTGCAGAGCAAGATTCCCTAGTGTGGTCATTTAATGCAATAAAATTACAGACTTGTTATCAGCAGATTTCTCTCATACATGCACTGACTCTCAAACAGAAGAAACCACATATCTAAGAACACAAGTCAGAAATGCCATGAGCTTTGTAAAATACATTATGAAAATCTTCCCTCTGATCATAAAACATGCAAGTTGTGGCTACTGACATTTTACCTAGAGCTAGCATAATTTTTCTAAACTCAGCAATGTACCAGCTCCAGTTTGATCAGATTATCTGAATTTTATTAACTTCTTGCGAATGCATATGGTCTTAGTGCAGTGCTACTGTTTTCTGAAGTTCAGTGAACAGTAAACACACGTTGTATTTCTTGCTGATACAGAGAAGAACTTCTTAAAATGCCAGTAAAATTTTCATAAAGTGCACATTTCAGTCAACCATTTTAACAATTGAAAAATTGAAGAAAAAAAGAATAATTAGTAGCTGCTTTGGTGAGAAACCAGCAAAATTATTATTACCACCCACACATGGCATCTGTGATACCAGAGAATCCAAGAATTATATATGCATCAGAAAGAAATCTTGCAGCACTTCAGCACCAAGACAAAATAGTAATCCTGACTAATACATGTAGATTCTTGCATGTCAATCTATCATTGAAATTACTCTTGAATTGTTAACAAATCAGTCTTTCCTACAATGTAGGTATCATCTTTCTAAATAAACACCACATTTATATCTAACAGGAGAATTTTCATTCTACCTCTTGCAGGAGATTTAATGCATTCATGTTATTAATGATTCATAACTTTCCCCTCAGATTTCATTCCTTCTGCTGCTGAAGATTCTTTTTTCAATTAGTTCTTCTGTGACAGATGTCTATGCATCACTTTAAAGAGACATTTTTGCAGGGCAC